ACGGTCAATCCCACTATTCGTTGGTAAAAGAGTAGCCCAAGAGTTGGTGGTGGGTGGTGATGACTAGTTGCCTTCCCTCTAGTCTTACACTGCTAAATTAGGGCCGGCTAGCGCAGATAGCCCTCGCGTAGAATTGCTCGAAACTCAAAACAAACGAACAAACAAAGCCATGAGAGCTATATGAGAATGTTGTTGCTATAAAACAGCCCCTTCATGGTAAGAGTATTTGTTTTCTAGTCATTAATGTGCCCTCCATCCTGCTTATTTCATTTAAACTGTGCTTCCCACCATGAACATATATTATAATATATTCGATCTTGAAGCTAAGAGTAGAAACGGGAAGTTAGGAAGATGGCAAAACACGATATAGCAGGGAGCTTACCAGTTCCGTGAAAAATATTAATAATTATTGCCCAAACTATTAGCTCCGTAAAGAGAGTTTTTTAAGTTATTTTAGAGACATAAGTTTTTTGGAAAATCGCATTTATATTTAAGAAACTTATTTATTATTGTTGTTAATCTTTGAATATACGTGAATTATTTGAGAGATGAGTATTAATATTCAATTGAAATTATTATTATTGCTGCTATATTCTTCATGTTAGCTCTGTAATCAACAACATTTTGTTTGCTAATTATTGGACAGGCTTATGATGATTTTGTGAACGATATTAAATAGTTAATTTAGTAGGGAGCAGGAAGATAGTATTTATGACTATACTTTTACATATAGTTAACTTTTCGAAAGATTACAGTTCATAGTAAAACCATAATTATTTGTGTTTTGTAGCCAAATGTCATAAATCACACAGTTAAGGATGCTCGTGTGATCTACGTCTTTTTCAACAACTAAAACTTTCGTATACCAAGACGACGCAAGTAATCTTTGAGAAAAACAAAATTTGCACCTTTCGTTGTTTCGCAGTTCTTCAGAATATAAGCAGTTATATCTCCTTATTTCTACACAATACAAAAGTACACGCATTTAACTATACAGTGGCGAAAGCCTAACCTCCCTCCCCACCCCCACTTTTCAATCTGTCCTAGTAGAAATGCATAAAAATTAGGAAAATTACTCTCAAGTAAAGCAGGATAATGCATAGAATTTAATCAAAAACCTAACAACTTTCAGGACCCTTAGGCGAGCCCCGTACCCTGGTCAAAGTGGGTGCGCCTGTGGCGCCCATTCCCTCGCATTGCCCTGTCAAATAAACATTACCCCCCCCTCCCCCCCCCACACACACACACACACTTTAATTTGCCTCGGTCATATTTGCTTTAACTAAATCAATACAATAAACCGTTGTTCTAAGGTCGTAATTTGTGCTGAATAAAACTAGTTAAAGAAAATTTACATAGCTGTCCATAATGAAAAGGTAAGAAAAGTTTAGTGAGAGAAACCGGGCCAGAAATGGTGCTCACAACAACATATAAGTTATGAAACATAAGTGGACCTTTCCAAGATTTAAACCTGTACATATACGAAAAAACAATATACATTCTATACAAAATGTAATAAACAGAAGCCTTACAAGGAAATGTATCAGTATGATTAATCGACGTACATTTTCAGTAATAATTCACTTTAACTTACCGTAACAAGTAAAATAAACAAGGTGAGCAGGAATAAAACTGTATTCTCCATGTCTGTCGTTGATCTTCCTTATCTAGTTCACTTACTCTTCAACACTAAATCAGTCGAATAATAAAACAGATATACTGTCGTTGTTCTTCCTTATCTAGTTCACTTACTCTTCAACACTAAATCAGACGGATAATAAAACAGATATACTGTCGTTGTTCTTCCTTATCTAGTTCACTTACTCTTCAACACTAAATCAGACGGATAATAAAACAGATATATTCTTTTTGAAATTTAAAACAAAGTTACTACTGATTTATTTAACAAGACACGTTTATCACTAAAACAGTACACAATTTAGATACAATACTAATACGACTGAGCGAGGAACAAATTTTGAGACACATATGTCTAGCGAAGTATGACGCTGCGCGTTCGTATGCGTTATCTGCCGTACCTGGACGAGTGTCACCCGAGCTTGCGTTTGCTTTACACGTGTAACAAATGCAGGTCACAAAAAATAAATAAATAAACCAATCCCTAAGGGAAGAGATCACGTAAACAACCGATTTGACACTAGCCAACAGCTATGAATGAATAGCTCTTCACCGTCCTTAGTTTTATATAGGAATTGATAACTGATGTTTGTCATTCAAGTTTTTCATAAATGTGATGAAAAATGACTACCAACCAAAATAAAAGTTTCCATCTGTTTTATTGTTTCATTTGAAGAACGGGTTATAAAAAATACGGCATTATACGTATAATGTTCAATTCTTCATCATTAGCCACACCAGTGTCTCATCATTACGTTTTTGTGACAGAATTACTGTCATTCTGCATTTTCCCATTCGATATTCAACGTAAAACTTATATAATAAAGTGAGAATGGAATGAAAGTTGATATATTACGAAAACAAAAAACAATAACAACGTTTTGAGTAAAACTCCACCTGTCTGTTTATTCACAATTTAATTCCCCATGGCTAAGAGTTTATAGTTTGACTTTTTTACTTCACCAACTTCTTCATTACCAATTATATATATATATATATGTGCATGTACGTATGAATGGCCTGCGAGGAAAATAAAATAAAAGACAAAAATGCAACCCTTTGAATGGCACGAAATTGTATACATAGTTATTTAAAGTGTACAGTAGAGTTAAGAAAATGATCTCTGTACTAGAACATGTATTACTTATGGCTACAGTGAGATACCCGGAGGCTCAGGCTTCGTTTTACTAAATTACCTTATCATAAGCAGTGGTAATAAAATGTTTCTCTGTGGTGATGTGCCTAATGAGTATCATTTGCGTAACGTTTTAACATAACAATATTAACAACAACAACAAAAAAAAACATTAAAAAGCAATATTGAAGTAAATAGGAGAGAAGACAAACAGTTTTTTTTTTGCACTTACAAAGATAATCAAAATAGTATTAATGAGAAATTTCTCAATTATGCGCATCTGAATAATTTTCTGATAATTACATTTTTAATAATTCTCTTTATAATATTTTGTCAAATTGATTATGTTTTTCGAAATGATAACAGAAATCTATGAAATATAATATCTGGACACTGTAGATGCCTCATTCAATGTCTCAGCGGTAAGCCTAAAGGCCTACAATGGTAAAATTCTGGCGTCGATCTTTGTCGTGAGCACTGCACAGATAACGGATTGTATAGCTTTTGGTTAAAAACAAATAGTTATTGTAAATATTATTTCTACGCAAGCATTTATCGTAACAAACGCCTTCACGAGGTGGCAAAAATTCGCTACTTATTTACATAGTTTTATGTAATTTATCAAAAGTTAATTTAAGCTTTAAAGCATCTGACTGAAGAAACTTATCTTAAATATCGGAAAATATGTTTTTATCTTTTAACTACGAGAGTTGATCCCCGAGGCGGATACGGCGCAGATACCCCCTGTATAGCTTTGCACTAAAACATTTTTTAACACATTAATTTTATCCATTAATGCTTGAAGTTTTATGATGTCATATGTCTGCAAGTAAGAAACCACTTGCTGGCTTGAGTTATACCCGAGTTAAATGATACATTTCAATGTGTGCGTTAACAAAGTAGCCTACAGCGTCAAACCTTGGGAGATAGTTTACCCTCGTAACACAAGGTAACGTGTGACGTCATGTTCGTAAACTCGTGGTTGAAGATCTCGTGCCTTGGGTCATGTGCTCGTGTCAAAATGGTTTTACAGAGAGTAGTTTAACGTGAAGGAACGTGAATTGATAGTTTTGACACTCAACAGATGAACTGGAAACAATTTTTATGGGTGTACGCTCGGAAAAATTAACGCTTCTGTACCATGAAGCGATTCAAGTTACATCTGAGATGTTAAACAGACCTAATAACGTCACTGTAGCTAAGAAACATCTTTATAATCTTGGTTACACATACATTCTTAGTGATGTGTCAAATTCCCAAGGTAAGAACATTAATAATCATTACCTATAACATTTCTTAAAACTCGTTAAATACCTACTTTCACTGTATCGATGAAGTAATTATACCGTTATTCATATTTGATGGTGAGACATGAAGATGCTGATGATTACGTGACACGATAAATTTAAAAGAATGGTTACCAGTAAAGTAGAGTTTTATGTGAGGCAATTTTACTAATGTAATCACTCGACTGGGTGCATAAACAGCACTAACCTATAAAGGTTACACCACACTACAGTTGGTTTTGTTACTCAATAAATGTATAAAAGTTCGTATTACAACTGAAAACTGAAAGGTTTAGGAAAAAATAAATGTTGGATCTGGCTGGAAAGCTGAACAATCTCAAACAGTGTTTCAACAATACAATGCATATAATGTGTCCATATAAAATAATATTGTAGTCCGATTTCCCGGCCTACAGTCACACTAAACTATATTTGTTTCATATTCCACAACATCAGCCTATCTTATCTGATAAAACTTGTGCATGAAGTCCTAAGCTGTCATGTTTCTGTTACCTGATGTGTAGTTTCTACGTTTCATATCAAAACAGACGGGATGAAATCCACGCCCACTGGCAGAACAGATTTTGCTTTCCAGCGAAACTTAACTTTCTCGTGTTTATCAATATTTATTTCATGACTTTGGAGAGAGACTTAACGAAATGTAAAATTTTAGTTTGTTAGATCAAAGACCAGATTCCGCCAGTGATGTAGTAATGCCGTGCTAAAGAATCTTCCATACTAAACGTTTCAATAAAACGAAATAACTATTCGAATACATTTAATGAACTCTTTCTCTGCTAAAACAACCTTGCACCATTAAATACAAGGTCATTCTAAAGTTTTCGATATGCCAAAGTTGTAGGGTTTTTGTAATGTACTAACCTCATCGTCTGGTGTAGATCGGTATTTAGGTCGCAATATGGGAGGGTCAGGTGCAATTTAGACCTCTTCCTCCTGTACTAACCCCATGTCGCGATGGAAGTTGTAAATTTAAACAAGAAGCAAAGGTGATGATTGTTTTTTTTTTAATTGGACAAACCAACACTTTGAAACGCATAAGCTGTTACTGAATTACAAAAAAAAAGTTACAAGAAGAAAAAAAAAGATTCACACATTCAAATATATACCCTACATTTGTATACAGGAAGAAAATTTTAAGATTCTGCATAATTTCAAAAATTATATTGATAAACTGATACCGACATCTATCGGAAATAATATAATTGAGCCATTGTTCTGCCCGATTCATGTTTAAACTTTACCTTTCTACTG